ATTGGAACATCTCTTCACTCAGAGGGAAAGGGCAGGAGACAGTTGATGTGGCCGCAACAACGTTCCAACTCGACATAGTTGTACACTCATCAACGAAGTACAAAAACTTTGAAAACCTGAGTCCCTTGGGAGTGGAAGCTATTCTACCCAGATGTCACCATCACAAAGAGCGCTCAGACTGATACTGATGTTCTGGAAGAACCCAACCTGTCTGACAGAATCCTTGAATCGAGGCCTGTCAGCGGCAAAACAAAGTGGTAGTCCTTGGACGGAAGATACAACAGGCCAAAACTTTGACCTCATATACATGTAAATACGCCAATTTGGAAGGAGAATGTGAGTCATTCCTTGAGGAAGTAGAATCTGCTCTGTAAAAAGTGCCGACGTTATTTAGCCTCCCACGGAAAGTCTACGCAAAGGTGCTAGAAACGAGGTGCAACGGAATAACTGACTCCAAAATACAAGAAAAGCAGAATGGCTTCCGACATTGTGGATGCACCTCTGACCATATATTTGCCCTGCGCCACACTGTTGAGAAATCGTGGGAGTACGTCCGCCCGCTTGGTAGCGCCTGATTATTCTATCCTTCTACAACAGAAACAGGAGACGGGACAAAACGCAGTCTTGGCGGAAACCTGTGCCAACGCTGAAAGGCTTCAACTTAACGCCATTTGCTCTGACGCATCATCTGCAATCAGCATAAAGGGATTGGTTGGCAGGTAGCAAGTGGCCAACGATCCCATTTTTTCGCAGGTATGCCCACAGACTGTTGCGTTGGATTCGGTCATAGGCTTTTCTAGGTCAACAAAACATGTACACCGGACGGGCGAACTCCCATGAATTCTCAACAATCTGGCGCAGAGCAAATATATGGCCAGACGTGCTTCCACAGGACCGGATGCCACTCTGCTCTTCTTGCATGTTGGAGTCACTTATTCCGCGGCATCTCGTTTCCAGCACCTTTGCGTAGACATAACCATGGAAGTTAAATAATGTAATGCCCCGATAACTCGAGCATTCCTTGTGGTTTTCCTTCTTTAACAAGGGTGGAACAACAACCGTTCTCCAGTCCGCTGGCGTCTTTCTTGTAGTCATCGCAGTGTAAGCCAGCACATGTGTTGTTCGCCTAATGCCTTGAGCATTTCAGAGCGGATTTCATCAATTCCTGCAGCCTTTCCATTTTTCAAGCCTTTCACTGCCTGTGTAATTTCATCTACTTAGTAATATTTGTTCCCTGCTGCTCTACAGGCGAGTCTTCCTGCGGTTGCGCGGGGTTAATGAGTCCACCTATCGCCGAAGAATGTCATTATCCTTGGTAAGAGTGTGTCCAGACCTGTCCTTCAAGACGCTCAGACTGTTTTTCTTTTCACCTCGGAGCCGGCGTATGCTCTGCCGGAATACCTTGTTTGCCGTGTAGAAATTCGTCTCCAACACCTCACCGAACTTGTAACAGGAATCAGTTTTGGCTTTCGCCAGTGCTTTCTGTGCCGCCTTGCGTGCCTCCACATATCGCACGCTAGTAGGATTCTCTTTGTTTCCAAGTCATTACTTGAACGCCGTCTTCATTTCTTTAACTGTCAGATGCACCTCTCTTGTCCACCAAGATCTTTTCTGACTTCCAGGCGGCGGGCCAACACGTTTAAATCCGCAACATTCGGCGGCCGGCTCGAGTATGCCGCTCTTAAAAAGCTGCCATTCGGTTTCCTATCAGAAAAACGTTTCGTCGGTCTTCGTCAGTCGTTGTTGTGCTGCTACGCCCCCGGCTGGCAGAGGGCAATGAGCAGGTTCTGAACGCCGACTTGTCGCAGTCTGCCTCAGTCCTCCAATAGCCTGCGCAGACCTTAGTAACCCGGGCGACGTCCGAACCGGTGTAATTTTCGATGGCGTCAATACCATGAGTGGCAGGTGGCGAACTTTTACGGAGACTTCGCCACGGTTTTCAATCCTCCTCCCTTCTCAACGAGGCTTGGAATCGGCAATGGCGGAGTTAAGAATGGTCCTCCTATTTAATTCGTTTTTAGCTGATACTGTCACTGAAGATTAATTAACCGAGGTAGTTAAACGGGTAGACCTCTACTATCATTTCACCTCTCAGCTTTATGCCAATAATGAAAGCTTTTCAGTATAGAAAAAGAACCTTAGAGCATCGTTATAACTTAGGTCAAATCTATGAAACCAAAGGGTTCACGTTTAATTTTAAGCGATATTCACTCTATGCATCTGATCGATAAAAAAATTAAATACCTATCGGTATGGAACTGTCGATTACTGATGTCATAAGTTTGAAAGGCTCCACATCAGAATGTTTGAGCAGACACGTAGCATGTCCGATTCTTTCAGGCTGAAGCTCGAGAAGTTTTAAAGTTTGTATGCCGTTCTCAGCAACCTCAAGTCACATTTTATTCATCGATTAACGACAGTTACGATTGCTAGAGGCTTACTTCTGAAACGTGAAGGCTGAGCTTGAATCGGTCGTATTTCGCTTGACGCAGAACCGGCAGTAAATGAGTTGCGTCAACCTAAAACAACATAGTGCTGTTTTACAACGATTGCAAGCTTGGTCTGAAAAAAACTACTCAATTTTGACGCAAGAATTATGAGTAATTACGAGAGAGCCGATGAAGTTCGAACAGAAGTTATCTTCTCCCAAACTAGCGACCAATGGGCACTGAAACTTAAATTTGACGCACAATAATGGCTTTAGCTACTTCCTACCATTGAAGACGTAAAATTTTAAAACTGGACGATAATAAGCTTCATGGCTGCCACTTCCCTACATGATATAATCGCACCATCGCTCTACTTCGATCGGCCTAGGAGATCTTCAGGGCAAGCAATGGCACCGTGGCGTTTAACCTACTGTGAATACATGGAAAACCGCATCACGATGCTGCGTCAAACAACTTGCTAGTACACAAAATAAAATGCCCTTCAATTGCTCCATACGAGCATATACTGAAATTAATTTGCAATCTCGTTTACAAAAGGTAATATGAAGGTTTTATCTCGTTACCGACAACCCTACTCCAATATCTAAGCATCTGCACAGTTTTCAACAGATTTTTAAGCTTACGCCGTAGGCTAAATGTAGGCTAAGCTTAAGTGGAATGCTGCAAAAACCACACATTAACGGTCCCAACTGAACATGAATCAGTTTTGGTCGAGAGCGGTATGGCCTGAACTGCAAATTAACCTTAGTCTGTATTAACCAACATGGACCTTTTGACGGTAATATATATCAATCCCGGTATGTACTGCTCTCAAATGTAGGCATTTATTGCAAGAGAAAAGATTTTGCATAATTTTACAACACAACGAATGCATTCCATTCACTATTATGTTTCAACAATTTCGCTTTTTAAAGAAAAAATCCCTTAAATACTTGAAAAGATCAATCGTCGTGGTAACCACTGCACTTTTCGAAACTACGGGAGCAGTAAAGGATAATGCGTTCCTCTGTTTCTGACATACAGTCCCGTACTCTGTTCATTCATCAGTCTTAATAACTCAAACGCTGAGGTAGGTTCGTTGAAGAAATCCAGACAAAAGTAGTTACACTGGAGTTACACTCGTATCTCCGTAAAAAAACATATTTCCAACAAAACGCAGTTAATTTACAGAAAAAAATATCGAGTTTATATACTAACAAACGGAAACGGAGACTGGTTTCCATAGTCATGGAATTCATCCCTAACTGGAGAGCATTACGCTTCTTTCGCTACGCGGAATTTCTCATTACCCTAGAAAGGAACGGCAGAGTAAAACGACGAGAGGGTTCAGTTATGGCTGTGACTGCATAAAAGCGGCTCGTAATACCATACTGTATAAAGAAGGCTTGTGAGCATCTGCTACGCAAAGAGTAATCAAAACATTCCAAAACTGACAAAAACTTTCAGAGAATTCAGAAAACATCATTAAGTGGAAACGTAGAAATTTTCATACCTCTGGATTCCCACTAAGATCTATACCAACAATGTAATCACCATCGCAATTACGGTATCGCTTTGCTAAATCCAAAACATGGCTTGCTGCATTAGTGCTCATTCGCCGGTCGATGGCCAACAAAAGCCGAGTCTCAATGTCCAACTCCGGATCCTGATTACTTTCTCTGATACCTCGAAGAAC